CAGGTAGCAAGGGACCCTTGCCAGGGCCCAGTGCACCTTAAAGCAGTTCTATTCAACTATCACAAAACCTATAAACCCACCTTATAGCTTGATGGTAAGGGGGGGAGATAAGCACTTAAGTGTGGGGGAGGTAATGCTGTTAAGCGCAACAACGAAGTGAATAGAACTGGGGGACAGGGTGCCCCAGGATGCTGCCTTATATACATGAGGGAAAACCCCCCAGGGACCAGTAATGGACCCCTGGTACCTAGCTGGGTAAGGATTACTAAGTATCATGTGCTCTATGATGTCATATATGATGTCATAGTCTGGCCCTGCCCTGCCCTGGGCCTAGGGTCCAGAATTGACCGGCCTATGGCCTAGTGCCTGAGCCTAGCTCCTACCTATGATGTCAGAATGATGTCATGGTCCAGAAGGAGCCTGGTTTCTATCTAGAAAAGGTCCAGCATCAAAGTCCAGCCTGATGTGTCCAGAACAAGATCATGTGTCGCTTATTTAAGCGGATAACCCCTTAGATATGCAGTTGTACCCATATGCGGACAGATAAGTATGGATAAGTCCCTATACCCTTTGATATGTCCGCAGAAATAGCGGAAAAATTAGGTAAAATTAGGGAAACTGTGACAGATCTTCTGCGTCGAAGGCGTGCTCAAGTCCCGCGCAATCAAAGGCTTCTTCAGCCACGATGGATGGAGGGAGGAAGGGGAGGTGCGCGTACTACGAAAGGCCATTGTAGACTAGCTTACATCTACGGCACCCGAGATGATACTGAGATTCGCAGTTCACGTAGGGCCCAATACTGCTTTTGACTATTATGCAGCAGGAACCAAGGCTATGCATCCATGAGGACAAGTACTGCCCACTAAAGTGCAGGTACTGAAGAGTTCGTTTCTCAAGTGGTGGCGATGTATCGTAGGCTATCTAAGTATAGTAGGGGTGCGCACCACCCGACCTGTGGGAAATGAATGTGAGTTTGGGAGTTCCGAGGAATGCCGGCAGGTGTGAGAGTTTCGACCTAATGTTGCGACTTGAGGTCAAGCGACTGAGGAAGACCTAAGAGCTGGGGGCGTCCGACTGATTCTCACCGAAGCGATGGTGAGCGATGCTCAAACCTAAGGCTAGGGACAAGAAATGTATTAGTTAGGTAAGAAAAGGAATACATGAGAGGCTTACTGACCTAGGGACAAGAGGTCAAAACTGAGGTCCCTAGGGCAGCAGAGGCCGGCTTATATACAGGGGAAGTTTAGGGGAGGCTGTGCGTACTGGTCCGTGCACAGCTGGTCCGTGCGCAGCATGCTGATGCAGCCCCGGGGGCCGGTGAGTCAGAGCGGCTGTGTCAGCGGAGCCCAAGCTGTGCCGCGCACTGCCGCCCATCTAATCTAATTGTACAGTAGATAGTGGTGCATCCATATCCGGCATGTGGTGCAGAGATCGCGGGTTCGAGCCTGCGAAAAGAAAAAATTAAAAACGGCTAGACGCTGTGCCAACTCATGACATCGCCAGTATAGGTCAAGCAAGAGGAGATCCCGATCTCCCTAGAAGAGTTGAGGCAATCGCACAGCCTACAGCCACCCCTCAAGCGATCCCCCAGCCCTCCCTGGGGCCGCGGTTGGAAGGACCTTCCAAGACCGAGCCCCGCGACACTCCGCCGCATTCTTGGGCCGGCCCGTCATCAGCGGTCACCCCCACGACTTCAGTCCCTGTCGTACGTAACCCCGCCTCCGGGCTTCCTCCAGCGCCTCCACTGTCATCGCCGCTGCGAGGCGGCTCGCGCACTCGTTCCCCCCAAAGTCCGACCAGCGGAAGGACACAATCAGCGTCTCCGTCCCCAAGCCATTCTCCATCCCCCCCCGCCAATAATGTCTTCTCCCACCGCCCCCAATAAAGAGACGTTGAAACTCCTCCTCCCACTCCGCTATGATGGGAAGTCAGTGGTTGAGTGCAACTGCTTTATATCGCAGTTGCTAATCTACTGGACAATCAACACGGCCCTCTCCACCATCGAGTTAAAAGTTCAGGTCGCCCTCAGTCTCCTCGATGGCGATGCTCAAGCCTGGGCCACTCCAATCTTTGCCCAGCTAGCGGCCGTACAGATCCAAGTCCAAGGAGCCACGACCCCGTTTGCCAATGAAGCGGCCTTCCTCACGGCATTCAAAGCCTGCTTCGGTAATCTCGATGATACCGCTGCAGCACAGGTAGAGCTCACCAAACTCTGCGCCGACAAGTCCCTGCGCGAGAAGTGCACCGCTGCGGAATTCTCCGCGTTATTCAAGGGTCCGGTGGACCGCTCCGGGTATGGCGACCTAGAGCTCCGCGACAAGTACCTTGGCGGCATCCCCTCCCGCGTCTACCGCAAGGTCGAGCTCGAAGTGTTCATCACGTGGCAAGATGCCGACAAACGTGCCAACAAGGTCGAACAAATCCTCGACATCAGCCGGGCCCAACGGCCCAAGTTGAACAACTTCTTCTCGGCTCGAGGTCGAGGACGCGGTGGGGCATGTGGTGGTGCACCCCAATCGCACGGAGCTTCGGCCAGCATCAATGCGGCCGTCGGAAAAGGAAACTTCCCCGGCAGTTGTTATGGCTGCGGGAAGCAAGGGTACTGACGTTTCGAGTGCCCCGACTGTAAGGACAAACCTTACACAAAACGCGCTGACACGCGGGCTACGGTTGCCTCGGGTTCCACCCAGGCCGCGACAAGCGCCCCCATCACAATGTCACCCTCGGCAAACATAAGTGCCGCTTCAGCGAATACCGAGCTGGCGGACTTAATGGCTCAGGTGAAGTCAATGCGCGAGGAGCTCGAGCACTATCGGGCAATGAAGGAGGAGGGTTTTTGATACGGTCCACGCTTCATGCCGCACGCGTCGGGCCGGGTATATCCTGTAACAAGTATAATGTATTGTCTTCTGCAATGGTGTACGAGTTGGACCAGGGGTCCCAATATTTTCACATTCCAGTTCAACTTCAAGGAAAAAGATGGCACAAGGACATAATCGCTATGGTTGACAGCGGGGCCACTACGAAGTTTATCAACAAGTGATTCATCATAGAAAATAAGGTGCAGACATGGAAGCTGAAAGAGCCCATTCCGCTCTATAATATCGACGGCACCCTGAACAAAGACGGAAGCATCTCGGAAGTAGCCGTGCTACAGATGCAGATAGGAGAACACGTCGAGAAGACGGTGTTCACAGTCACGGACATCGGTCCAGAAGACGTAATCATTGGATTGGACTGGCTACGCAAGTACAACCCCGAAATTAATTGGGAAGAAGGTTCCCTCAAGTTGTCACGATGCCCTGAAACGTGCAGTGCCAGAAGGACTGGCTGAATGGAGCAAGCAGTGACTGCGCGTGATACAGGGGTCAGGCCCACAGCGCAGAGGCGTTCACCGAAGTCCAGACGGTCGGTTATAGGCGCCTGCCAGAGTAAGGTGCTGCCGGACTTCGAACCCGAAGAAGATCTGGTAGAAGTCGAGTGGAATGAAGCCGACTTGATCGAGGCCTGGGAGCAAGGTATTACGCTTCCTGGCGTCCCTCAGCTGTTCGTCGCAGCTGGGCATATGTACTCCCAGCTGTTTGCTGAGGAGGAGATCAAAAAGAAGGTTGTTAAGATCGCCGAGGAGTCGGTACCTAAACAGTACCACGAGTTTCTGAAGGTCTTCACAAAGGAAGCATCAGAACGGCTACCTGAAAGGAAGCCATACGATCATGCGATTGAACTCATGCCTGGCTACTCAACGTTCCATTCGAAGGTATACCCCTTGTTGAACAATGAGCAGGAGGAGCTTGACAAGTTCCTCAAGAAGCAGCTAGCGAAAGGATACATACGGGAATCGAAGTCGCCCATTTCCTCCCCCTTCTTCTTCATCAAAAAGAAGGAAGGGACTCTTCAACCCGTACAGGACTATTGTCAACTCAATGCAATAACCGTAAAAAACCGCTACCCGCTGCCGCTGATCGCTGAGGTGGTGGATAAGCTCCGTGGCGCCACGCTCTTCACCAAGTTCGATGTCAGGTGGGGGTACAACAACGTCCGGATCAAAGCCGGTGACGAGTGGAAGGCTGCCTTTGTGACTAACCGAGGGCTATATGAACCCCTGGTGATGTTCTTCTGCCTCACAAATTCCCCTGCAACCTTCCAGGCGATGATGAACGAGATCTTCCACGATTTCATTGTCGGCGGAAAGATCCTCGTGTACCTGGATGACATTCTGATCTTCTCTACCAACAAGGCGGAGCATGAGAAGGTTACACGCGAGGTTCTGCAATGCCTTCAGGAGAATGATCTATTCCTAAAGCCTGAGAAATGTGAATGGGACGCTCCCAAGGTCGATTACGTTGGCTATGTGTTCGGTGGCGATGAGGTGGTAATGGATCCGGCAAAGCTGAAAGGAATTAATGAGTGGCCAGTACCCCGGAACAAAAAGGATGTTCAGAAGTTCCGGGGGTTTGCCAACTTCTACTGCCGTTTTATTAAGGACTTCGCTAAGATCTTGCGACCACTCGACCGGCTCACAGAGAATGACCCATGGCATTGGGGCGAAGAAGAGCAGCATGCCTTCGATGAGCTCAAGCGGCTCTTTGCGACGACTCCAGTCTTGGCACTGTACGATCCTAATCGGGAGACGCGCTGATACGACCTACGAAACCCTAACCCCTAACCTGGGTGCGACCTAAAGGGACTAGAGAGACAGCTTATAGTCTAATGAGAGGGGAGTTAGCAGCAAGGTGTCCCGCGGTTCGAGTGAACACGAGAAACGCCCTTGGGAAAGGTTACGAACAAACGGGTAGGTTCGAGGTGGCTTCGACACGTCGTCGAAGCTACTCGGAAGCTGTGGAAAGTCAGCGACGATCGAAGCTCGGCAGAGCTCTTCGATGTATCGTAGAGAGAAGGGACACGATTCGATGGGGTGTACTTAGCTAGGGCGCGGTTCGCGGTTTCTTCGACAATAGTCGAAGTCGAAGGGTTCGTCGAGACGGTATCGACGAGTAAACGCAGTGGACGAGGTTTCGAAGTTACGCAGCGAGGGACGAAGTGACGCAGTGGAAGCTTTTACGCGGGGTGAACTCGACTTATGAGCTCTGAACTCGAGGGGGGGGAACGGATCTTGTATTTTTAGAGAGAAGTACGACAGGTTTTATACTACACAGGACGCTACGACTATTCGAGAGTGGCATACGA